AGACACTCCTAGAAATACTTGTATTTGCCCACAGCATTCATTCTTCCATCCATCTATCAGCATTCTGGCAGCTGTAATGAAAAGCAGTATGTATTAGAAAATATAATAAACTTCTCATTATTATAATGGACTTTGATCTAACATGGTTCCCTGAGGAAACAGATATGAATCATTGTGAGTATTACAGCTTAATAAATATACCTTTCCAAAATAAACTAACAAAGGGAAGGATTAGAGAAATACTTCACAGAAGTAATATCTCACTGTAATAATGATTTGATAGAAAACTACCAGTGATACATTTCTGGTTGCACCACAGTTCAGTTTTGGATGCCTCAGTGTAAGTAGACATGCTAGGCAGAGAAAGCCTCTGGAGAAGAATGACAAAACAGGTTAAAGTTATCTGAAGATTCTCATGAATGATTACTCCAGCTATAGGCATTTGACATATAAAGACGGGGTTAACAAAATATACTTTCTTAAATTTAAGCTTTCGATTTTTGATTCAAAATTGGGGGTTACCACATGCATGGTCAAACTTTTTCAGCAGGAGAGATGGGAGCCCATTTTCATGAGAGCTACAGACACTGTTCTTTGTAGTTACCTTCTACAGGCTTTTTACAAAGTAGTCCATGTATCCCTTTATCTACAGCCCATGAGCTGAAAATGACTGGCTTAAGTGAGACTAAAATGTGATTTCAAACATAAAATAATGAATGTCAATGAGAAGACTGGCCATCCATTTCTTTCTTCTTTCTCCCACTGTATAAACATTTCAAGGCATCTGATTGAACTCAGATTCAAACACTCAGGACATCTAAATTAAAGGAAATACTACTTTATCTATTTTTAATAGTAGTCAATCTGTGATTCATTGACACATGTAACTAACTGCTAAAACATGAACATAACAATCAGAATTGAATATGGGTCCACTGTGGTTCCTGGGTGGAAAAAGGTTTTGGTTAATTCAGCTTTTCAAATCTACACAGGAACTTTTCAGTTTTAGGACAACTCTTCAGTTTGGTAAGTATTCAACTTTTTTTTTTTTTTAATGTCTAATAAAAAGGTATCTTCTCTAAATCTATATCTATGTAGAAATCATGTCCATAAATATTTTGCCAGAGATAGTAATTCCATAATATAATTTAGTAGAAATTTGTCCTATACTCAGCAATATAAATACTCTGGTGAATTTATACTCTAGTCTTTACTGGTATATAAGACCATATGTTTGGAACAAAGTATCTGTTTATAAATCACCATTTTTTCAGAGTGCCATTGATATCAAAGCTCAGAATGACTAAGACATTAATGCAATATTTGTCTGTCAGGTTGATTTCATTTTTCTCTGAATATATCAAACCAATAAAGTGAATGTGCAAGATAAGACTTTGTGAATGCCCTGTATTAAAGTACTGTATTCATATTAAATATGGCATAAAACAAGAAGCTACTGCCTTCTTTTCTGCCTTGGTGAGCTTTTATTTTTATACTGCTAGATGGATAGGAATAAATGGTACATGCTTCAGCCTGTTGACTCAAAGTCACTGATTATTCTTATGTGGATAACTGCAGTAGCATGAAGATTGATTACAGTAGCTCATAAGCAGCAGCTGCCATTTACAAATGCCAGCTAGTGCTTCTCATGGGGATTTGTGATAGAATACAGAAATAAGCCAGAATTACTTCTATTAGCTGAATACATGACTTTTTTTCTTATTTTGCAGTCACATTGTGTTTCCCCAAAATAATCTTTTTTAAAACACTGGCTGATTTCAAGTAAATTTGACAGAGGTAGCTGATATTTAGAAGGCAATTAAATTCTTACAAGTAGTGTCAAAGTTGGTGATGAAGTATGAGAGACAGAAAGAGGTTTTTCAAGTGTCCTGTCTAAAGGAAAGGCTGTCACATATATTTATTGTGCATCAGGGGATGTATACAACAAACAAATCTAAGTCCTCAAAAAAATCCATGGTTTTGTAATTGTCAGATGCAAGCAATGCTTTCTTTAGCCAACCCGGTATATGTGTCAATTCATGTCGTGTATCATCTTGTGATCACACAGTTGTGGCAGCTTGGCTTTTAAGAGACAAGCCATAAACAAATTTCTCTGTTTTCATACAGATGCAGTTCACTTGATTTAAAATTAACAGAGTAATAATAACTAGGTGTTTTATTTAATAAGGTGAGTTCATAGTGGAAACATCACCCAAGTAACTGTTTAGTTTTTAACCTGGTGCAGGTTTTTTAACAGTGTAGATACATGTGTGTGTATGGATCTATGAGTGTGCATATATGTGCATACATTTTATACAGTGTATATACTTTAACCAAGACTATCAGTTTGAGAACTTTCTTCAACCTGTTTTGTTTTAAACAGGACATATTTCTGCCAGCTTTACAGTGAATATTATCTACTGGTGACTTACTCCATTGGTTTTATATCAGATTGCTCATAGATTAAAAAGCTAATCAGCAGGAGGCATAAGTGCTGCCAAGTTTTTCAATTTTATCACAAAGTCTTGTGATATTTGTTTTTTACTGTACCTTAGCTGCTGGGATAGGAGAAGTTTGTGGGAATCTAAGTTTCCATTAAAACTAGGAAATTTTAGTGGAAACTTAGACATACTAGCCTTTCAGGGTGTGGATATAAATTCAAAATATTAAGCAAATAACCTCAGAGGGTCAAGATATGAGAAGGCAAATACAAATATTTTTCTTTCTTGAGACATTCTCATGATATGTCATAATTTTCCACTGTCAATGATGAATGGAGTGTCAGAATTTTTTCATCAACATTAAAATGCTATGGGGTACCTTCAGCAGAGATGAAATATAGACATTTGGTTTTCTTCATGAAGAGATAGATCAGCATAATCAATATGTGGGGCTGAAAAACAAGAAAAAATACTATTATGGATTCAGCAGAATTATTGCCCTTCATATATGACAGTTGTCAGAACTATTAATCTCCCGCCTGAAATCAGATTGCTGAAACTGTATCAGCATCCTTAGCAAATACAAGCATGTGTCTCTTCTCATTCAAGACAAGCTTTGGTGTATGATTTTCCTGATGGTGGTTTTACAAAACTTTGTGTTTCAGTGAAAAATAGAAAAAGACTGAAAAGCTAGGAGGATCTGAAAAACAAGGATATACCTTGTGTGCAGCCCAGGGAATAATAAAATGGCAAAGCACTGATGGAAAAAGAGATTCATAACTTTGAAAAGTTTCTGTTTTTTGTTTGTGGGGAATGTCTAATCAAACTGTATAACAAATAGAGAAACTTTACTCCATCGAGTGCAGTGGACAAAGATTAAAAAAATAATGTCAATTTGGCTGTTTAAATGGTTAACATAACCTCATAATCCTATGCAAAGTGGTAGTGGTTTGCTAAAGAGTTCACTATTTTCTTTTTATGTTCTTGTTGCGTGTACTCTAATTCCTCTCAGTTAAGAGGACACACTAAACTTTAAGAAACTGTAATAAATTGCAGCAATCTAAAAAACTTCAGGACTGTGCCATCAGGAGTAATGACCTAGCAGAAATAACATGTATTTTAAGAAATATTTTTAATCAAAATCACAGACAGAAAACCAAGTTTAATGTACTCAGCTGTAATTTTCCAGGAGTAACAATTTTCCTCTGCTGTGAAGGGTATTCTGGATGAAGCCACCTAAAAGGACATTGGAGCCAAACCTTTAAACAGAAGGTAATCAACTGGTGAAAAAACCCCAGAAACTCTCTGTTATTTCCCTCACACTAGTTATTCTGTCTTTGGCTCATCCCCAAAATAAGCCATGTTTCCTGAGATATAACTCTCCCTGGCTCCTGATGCCGTCTCTCTCTCTCTCTCCCCCATGGATACTCTCCCCAGTGAGAGTATCACATGGATATTCTCTTTTGCATTTTTTATAGCATTCGCATCTCTAGCTGTAAAAGATTAAATTAAAAGAGTATTTGACCTGCCTTCTGTGGTCAGTGCCACTCTAGCAAGCAATACATCACTGGAGGAATGTCAACTTCATGACCCATTACTCAAATGAGGCGCCAACTAAGAAGAGTGAGTTGAGAGATCCAAAAGTTTTAAATTTATTGTCATGATACATCTAAAAATAATAAAAAAATCCTCCTATGGTACAGGGAGTGGGAGGCAGAGGAAAGAGAGTGTAGAAAGTCTCTCAGGTCAATCAAAACTTTAAATAATATGACTCTGGCAAACAGGTTTTTTTCACATGAGATATCTAATTTTGCTAATTTGATTTTCCTCCTTGTGTAAAAGGCAAAATGTTTTTTATTGTCCCTCAGTACAGCCTTTAGACTAGATTTTGGGCAGACTTACAGTGTCAGATTGGATTTGGATGGATGAAGATATACCAATCACTCCACCCTTGTGTGATGAATTGTTAGGAAAAAGGCTTTTCTCCAGAGGGTGGTTGGGCACTGGAACAGGCTCCCCAGGGAAGTGGTCACTGCCTGTCTGAGTTCAAGAACCATTTGGTAAATGCTCTCAGGCACATGGTGTGATTCTTGGGTCTATCCTGTCCAGGGTCAGGAGTTGGACTTCAATGATCCTTGTGGGTCCCTTACAACTCGGGATATTCTATGATTCTATGGTTATCCTGAAGCAAGGAGGACCAGTTTGTGACTCAGCTGCTACCCAGCTGCAGTTTTTCAGGCCGGATTGTGTAAGCTGGGTCTCATTTCAGGGGAAACAGTTGGGGCAGCAGTAGCTCCGGAAGTTTAGTTTGACTGTCCTGTACCTACCACAGAGTAGCCATTATTCCTGCTTTCATACTCTTTCCAGCCTCAGATTTTCCTCATATCTTTCCTGCAGCCTCACTCTCCCTTGCCCTGTGGTCCTTCTCTATCGCTCTTTTGTTCTTATTTCCATTTGGCTTTTCCATAAAAATTTCTCTTTTTCCCCCCTTTTTAAATCGTGCATCCTACTGACTCATCTCTTCTGGGCTACTTCTTCAGGTACACATATCCTTGAAACAAATCTGGGAAAGGAAAGAAATAACTTCTTCGTGGACGTGGACTCTGCTGGCACAGTTTAACCCTACTGCCCCACTCAGTCTGATACATCTGCATAAACTTTATACTCTTGCAGAATGGGTATTTTTAAGGATTTCTGTAGCCAATAGTAAGTGAAATGAGTATTAAAAAAGTCCCAAGACTGACATGTGCTTCCGGATGCTACTAGAAGGCATACAGGGAGGAGGAAGGACTAATATCTGTAAGCCAGGGCACAGCATTTCAAGCTTTAATGTAGAAACTGAAGCATCTGGTTTCTGATGAAGAAAGGCTGAAATACGACATTTGATGTACTCAGAGGTAGATCTGTTTGTGCTACTGCTCTTTTAGAAGGCTTAATGAAAAAAGTACAACCACAGGAGACTCAAAAGTAAGGCATTAAAAGGATGAGCAAAGGACAAGATTTCAGCCTAGTTTCTGATGCGTGACATGCTACGGAGTGCTCTAGTATGGAAGAAATTCCAGAGACCTTCAAGAAATGAAGGAATTTTAAGAAAACAGTAAAGATTTCAGAGCTGCACTGTGTTACAGTATTCTCTTTTAAGTATGCATAGTTTTGCAGCTTCTGCAGTGCCAAGGATTTTTTTTCATAAACTTTGTATTTGATCTTATGAAGTATATAACTATATATTATCTCACATTAATACATGGTAATATAACTACACATGGCATTTATGAATTAGTTGATCAGACTTTTGAGGAACCCCAGCCCTGTGGAATGGAGAAACACACTGTCTGTGCCAAATACTGCCATAAATTGTACCCGTATGACTCTGATGCTGCTTGCAGCAGTTTTGATAGGATTTTAAGTATAGGAGAGAACTGAATTCAGACTGTTGATATAAATATCTCCTTGTACATGTGTAACGGTTCCTACCTTTTTTTTTCTCATCAATTCTTCTATGACCCTTACTCAGATCACAGTCCTGCTGCAGCCATTGCTGGGTTATTTTCCCGAGCTGCCAAGGACCCAACTGTGCTCATTTGGGATTTGTCTGCATGGAGTTTCCTGTAAGATTGAGGCTTTTGCTGCTTGGAAAAAAGAGAGTCCAATTCATTATGTTTGACTGGCACCTAGGAAAATGAAGCTTTAACTGTAAGTGTATTATTCTACTAGTAATAATTATAATAGTAATTATAATATTATTGCTATTACATTTTCCTACTACATTATGGTACTAAAATATGTTATTATATTTTTTATTATTACAGTAATTTACATAGTTTCACTGTATTGAAACCAAGCCATACACACACACACACATATATATATATATAGATATTTATATGAAGAGAGAAACACTTTTTGAAACCTAGTTTCATAGCTGCTGAAAATAGCTCATTTTCCAAGCTCTGGCTTTTTGGAGGGATAATCCCCAGCACAGTAGTAAGCCAAGACACTGTAGGCTGGAAACAAAAGTATATGACTCAAAAGAAAGGCTCTTATTCATGGCAGAATTACTGCAGCAGCTCACACTTCTGTGCTGGGACAAAGCAATCTCCAGAAGGGTGTGATCTTGGCTGAGGAGAAACAGTCTGAGTCCAGTTCTCCACCAGGTTTGGTTTGTGGTGTCTCATGGGCTGACAGGAAGGTCAGTCCCTACGCAATAGCTTGCCCTTCCCCGAGGAGCTGTGAAAAGCTGTGCAGAGCTCACTCCTCCGGCCACAGCCACAGAGGAAACAAGCTATTCACACACAGGCTCGCTAACACAGAGGTCCCAAAGCAGCTGCTGGCGCTCCCTGCTATTTTGGCACCTAGAATCCATTTTTTTAACGGTACTCTGTAACAGGTATGAAGTGTATCTGAGCATTGCAATTTATAATGCCACAGAAGGGGGGAAAAAAAAAAATCTTAAAAATGACAGCACAGCAGTGGAATACTTAGCTTAAACTTTGGCAAAATAATTATCTTTGTGCACTATACATAGTGTGATTTATAGTATGGCTTCATGAGAGACCAAATGAAACCCTGGGGTGAATTTTACTCAAAAAGAGCAAAAGTAAGATTAATGAACTGGAATTTTGCACATATACCATTCCACTGGACAGAGACGTCACTTTTTATGCTAGGAGTCCCACCTATATATTTATATTTTAATCCATTGATTCTTACATATTTTGCATAATTAAATTTGCATATTTATACATAAGTATTATGAAGATTTATTACAGTGCCTCCCAGACATGCCAGATGCTTTAGGTACAGTTCCACATACACATAGTTCTCTGTTTCAAAGAGTTTAGAAGCTGGAAATGGAAGCTCGGAAATGTCTACACTCAGGTATGGCTTTCCTCAGTTTATGTGCAAAAGTGTTTGCAGGGTTGGGCCCTGTACAAACAGCTGAAGTATGAATATGGCAGTCCTGAAAATCATGACTCTTGGACTTATTTGAATGCCATTTTTTTACCATTTTGGAATCAGAAATCAATAGATTTAATACTCTTCAAGTCTAACTTGGCTTGGAGATTATTCAGGGATGTAAATTTTGGGGGGGAATACTCTGGAAATATCTTAATTTTTCTCTCCAAAAGCCATATCAAAATGCAGCGGTACAAAGGGGACCTGAAAGCCCCTGTGAAAGAAATTGCTTTGGCAGGAGTGCGCTGAAATATGGCCATAGATGTTTCTGCAAGGAACCTTCTCTATGGAGGTTATGGCAGTACTCAGGATGGATTTTCAAGAAATTCCCATTGGTTCTTTGATCGATACATCTGGGGCATAGTGGGGGTTCTCCAGTCCTAAGCACAGTGGAACTAAGGTAATTTTCAGGGTGGTCAACTTAACTTTATCTTCCTCAGAGTGTGAAGTGTCTCCAGGAAACGCAGCACAGAACCACAGGGAGTTTTTCCACACTGAAACACCCTTTGTCCCCCACCCCAAGAGTCAAAGCAGAACCATGTGCTGCCCACAGAGCCCACCCGTCCCTCCACTGCCTGTCACTGGGTCGTTCCCCTCCAAGAGTGCCACTACACCAAAGCTGGTGCTCCTGTACGCCATAATTTGCCTGTGAAAGTACTTTTTGGCCAAGCCTAATGGATTTTTGAGTGGGAGGGTACAGCTGGTCCCCCGGGTGGTGGTGGCACTCACAGGCCTATGGTGTCACCTGATGATTGCAGGGGCTGGCTGGAGCCCCAGGGCCCCACTGGCACCCCCTTTCCGCCCTGTTCGCACTCACTGGGCCTTTCTGAATGTTCCTTTTTCCCCCACACTAACCCAAATAAACAGAAGTTTCCATAATGATGATGAATGTCCACCAAAGGCTAAAATAATGTGCAAGTTTCTAATTTGTTTTTAAATATAGCGATTTTATTTGTGAGGTTTTTTGTGTGAGCCTCTCAAACACCATTAAACTCATACTCAAATATTTACAATGTGTTTATACTTACCGTGTTCACCTCTGAACAAATTGTTTGACCTTATTTGCAAATGTGTTACAAGAACTCCCAATGACAGATGATCTTTCATAGGAAATCACAACATGTAAGTGAAATTGAAGCTATGCTGCTGCCCCGTGCAGTATATCAAAGTGTTCGGATCTCCCTAAAACATAAATTTGTGGTGCAGCCACCCTGGCAGACCCTGGGTGGGGATGAAGAAGGGTCCTCCTTTAACCTCTGGTGCACAGACGCGCACTTCAGGGGTCAGTTTACACCATGCAAGATGAGGGCATTTGACGTGCAAAACCTACAGGGCTGATGCTACCCAGTCACTCAAATCACATAATTAATGTGCTTCTGGGTTCCAATAATAAACAATTCTGATGCCTACTCACTACAGCCAAACTTCCTTGGCTAAATAAACAGCTTTTTGCTTAAAAATGTCTCTTATCCAAAATGAAGTTTTCCATCTATCGACCAATCCCACTATGAGCTTGTGTTTTTATGGTTGGCAGGGGAGACAGCAACTAATCTAGTTTCCCACTGATTATGTTAAGATTGAAAGAATTTATTAAAGAATTATTTATGTTTCTCTACCTATAAATTTTATGCTGACATTTGCTCACGTTATCTCCAGACACAGTAGTCATACTTAAGCTATGTCATTTTAGCTAACTAAATATTATTCTATTTATGGAACTAATGGATGGTACGGGAAACATGAAATAAATATTGAAAGAAAATTTAGATCACTCAAATGATATATTTTTATATCCGAATGTCTAAAAACAGACATCAAAGAGCAAGAGGGGGCATATCATTGTGTGTCTTACCCCATTGAGGAACTGAAAGGATCATTTCAAAGCATTTCCCACTTGCCAATAAAATGGTTTTGGTCAGACTCTTCTTTTGTTACTCAACAGCTCTTAATAAGATGGATGCACTGCAGGGGAAGCATTTTCTTCCGCAGGTAGTGCTGTGGGCAACTTACAGGTTGAGAAAAATGGTGAAGAGCTCCTTCAAACCCAGTGATCCAACCCAGTCCTTAAATCCACAAATTTTGTGTTGAACCATTTCCATGGGTATCACCGAAACTGCTGTAAGTCAGCAATCCTGATTTACAATATCTGTGTCCAGTAAAAGAATCAGGCCAATTACAGTTCCTCGAACAGGAGCCTAAGCAATGTCTGTTCCCAGTTTAGACACAGTCTAGACATCATTCTTCAGCCATCCTAAAGCCTTTCTGGAAAGACAATATTTCATAGTCATGTAATCATCGGCTCTTTGTTGACATGACCAATATGAAAGTCAATTGGTGTCAGCTGTAGTGGTGATTTTGTGATGGGAACATCTACTCATTTTTTTCTGAATGAGACTTAGTCTTGGCCACTGTTAATAGGGCACGGATGAAAGCTCCAGATCCTGTTACAAGTCCTTTGAGTAAACTAGTTACTCATAATTTTTTCACATAGTTTATCTCCTTTGATTTGTAAAATTGCTTCCAGTTGATGCTTTGAGTCCAGGTGCCTTTTGAGTAATAAAAAACCTTTGCACCAACCCCCAGACAAATCCAAATGCTCCTTTCTACCTATTCTGATAGTTTAGGTGATGCTGTATCTTCCCCAGCCCTTCACGGTCCTTGAATTTTTCATGTCTGTTAATTAATCACTCTGACACACAGAGTTCTGCCACACCAAAAAATGTTGTAAATATTCTATATATAGTCCTCAAATAGGACTAGCAACTAGGGATTTCTGCTTTGTTCTTTTATCACACATATGTTTTACTTTGATGTAAACATTGTTTCAAAAACAGTAAAAAGAGCTTTTTCATGTTATGCATAGATTATTCCATAAACATATGCATCCTGTCAGACACAGTAATAATTAGAAATAGCTGTAGTTTCATTGCTGACTCCATAGTACTTCAAACTTCTTAGTTTTTTAAAAAGTAAAAACCAGATGCACATCTTTGATTCTGAGCAGAAACTCTCTCATTTCAATTAATTTCCCTGTCACTAGGACTCATTTAGTGCTCATAAATAATAAATAAATAACGAACCAAATAAACTCACTACATTTTTAAAATTTTACAACATTAACATTTCACATACAAAATTCAGCTGGGTAAAGGAATTGAGGCTGGTTAAATTTGAAAATGTCCCACATAAAAATTAAAGTGAAATTCAGAAGTGTTCTTACAAAATGACTGATATTTTGTTGTTGTTCCTGAATATTTTTTTACTATTCAGACAAACTGATGACATGTATAAACCTCCATTGTATCATAAAAATGTAGTCAAAGAAAATTTTATCATAAAAAAATTGAATTAAAAAGCTTTCAGAGGGATGGTGCATTTAAATGAGTCTTATGTGCCACGCAGAGAGCTCTGTGGATAGTAAGATTGGAGTACTCTGTTCAACACTGACATATTTATTTTTAATAAAACATTTATTTTTAATAAAACATCTAGTACAGGCTGTACTAGATGATCTCTTGATAACAAAGGCAAAGTTTAAAGGTGTTATTTGCTCTTACACCTGTTCATGCGTTGAACATCCTAGCTAGTAAGTATAGCAATGGCAGTAAGAGAGAAGTAAAAGTGTGGCGTTTATTTAAACCTGACTATCACAGGTAGCAGTAGATTAATTTTCATCATGTTTAATAGATTGGACTCAAAACTCAGTGAACTCAACAAAAATATCCACAGTGCCTTCAGGATGGATCAGGCATTTTTATACTGCCTGGTGTTAAAGTTCAGCGCAGCTACAAGGAAGTCATCTTGGGCACCTCTGCAAAATGTTGTAGTTTCAAGCTGCACTTGTCTCTTACAGCTCCCCAGCTCAGGGCCGTGCCACGTGCCCTGGGGAAGTGTTTTGTCCTACCACTAAGCCAAGCAGAGTCTCCTGGCTCTAAAGTGGATGGCTTCACCTAGAGGTATTGCAGCTGCTCAGGGTAAGAGGAGGGCCTGAGTGTCAATGGGCAATTGTGCTTGTCAGCTTTACATCTTTCACTTTCAGCCCCTCCCTTTTTTTCCCTACCTCTTTTATAAACAAACTTTTCAGGAAAATTCTGCTTTGCAAGGAGCTGTGCCAAGTGACATGCTTAGTGAACTGTGCTACCCTGGATAATTAAGAAGAGCTAAACTCTGGGTTTGTTACAACAGCTTTAGCTACAGAGCTATTATTGACACTGTGTAAGTATCAACAAAATAATTGCCCAGCGATCATACTTCAACTTTTATTTCTGAAATGCATTAAGTGAACTACTTCTAATGCTAATGTCTCTGAAGATTAATTAAGAGGGTTGGAGAGGAAATTTTTTTAAAAATACAGTTCAAGAAGTAACTTTTTCTACCAGATGTTTCTAATGTAGCTCTAGGAAACCAAGTGTCACATCACCTAAAAATTAGATTTGGCTCAGTGGGAATTTCCAGTACAATTTTGTTTTCTTCAAAATTATACCAGTTAGTGAAGAACAGAAAAAAATAGCTTTTCTTTGATGACATCACTGCTACAGTTTTCAAAAAACATTTAGATGGATAACAGATAATCTGACTGTTATGAATTTCACAGTGTGCTTTTGACTTTGGTGTATTTGAGATAATATCACATCTATCACAAAGAGCTTGACAGAGACGCTTTCTCTTTAATTCTCCCTTTACAAACAGGATTTGATCTACTTCCTCTTCTCCCCTCTGAGGCCAAGGAAATTCTTTCTGTTCACTCTTCGAGCATCCAAGTGTATGTAAAAAATTATTTTTGGTGTCAGGTATGCACTGATGTTCCTCTGAATAAGCATTTTGTGCTAGAAGAAATAAATTAAATGCTATAAAATGAATAATGCTCCCAGGATTCCTTCTGCTGCTTAGCCCTCCAGTGCAAGTGGTGCCAAGCCTGAAAGGTAAACTAGAGTTTTCCCAGCTTGTTAAACTGAGTCCTGAAACCTTCTGTGTTTGAGGCAGTGGGATACTGAGTACTCTACCACTACAAGCTCTTGTGGTTTTATGACCAGATGGAGATGGGATTTAAATACCAACAGGCAGCAGGATACCAAAATTTAACTAAGTATCTTAATAGATAAGTGGATAAATCTGTGATTACATGTTGCCAATGGCTCACTGTTCGTTGTTCAGAAATAAATGCCCCTAGCAATCCTTCAGCAGTAATGATATCAGCAATACTTATCAGAAACAGACTGATGCCTTTGTACAAATGGTGCTGATAAAGAACTCGCAAAGCAGAGCAGAGCAGAGAACAATTCAAACAAGTGGAATGAACAAAGGAGTCTATGGCTTATCTTTCATGGCATTTTCCATGGCTTCAGAGTATCTGACAGTGGAGCTGATGGGAATATATACTTTCCATGACAACAGTTACATATGTCGCTTGCACTTTCAATGTCTCTGCTGGAGCAGAGCATGCTCAGTCTCCTGCCTGCTGATGCAGGATGGGGCAACTCTGGCACATGGGATAAGCCACCACTTCAGCTATACTGGCCCCAGAGTGATAGGTAACTTAAGGTCCTTAGGATGGTGTCTTGGGATGGTTGTTTTCTGCAGCTGCACCTGTTTGTCTCCAGATAAATCTAATTTTTTTTTTTTCTATAGTCACCACAGTTCTCATTCCCAAAAGAGCAGCCATAGCAGAAAACCCCAGGGTCACCATTTGTCACTCTTGTATTTGCTAGACCATTGTCTTACTTCATTTGTACCATGCTGTGGGTTTCCTGTAAGAAAATACTAGATTTTATTTTAATCCTCATTTTTATGTGATGAGCCTCACATTATGTCCATCCATATCCCTGCCGTTCCATGAACAGTTTGTAAAGATGGACTTGGGACTGGAGCCTACATTGCTTTAAATAATTAAAATAATCATGCTTAAAATAATCTTGCCTCATCTTCTTTCTTTATAACAAATATATTGAGGTCACAGGGAATGACTCATTTCATTTACACTACCTGAAAACAGCGGAGTTTTTCTCTTTCCTTGTCTCTCAAAACTTATTCTTGCTCTTTCTCCTTCTGCTTTTGTTGCCTTCTTTCCCATCCTCCTTTTCTTTTTTTCACTATAAGGTCTTTGCTGTGCTCATTAACACCGTATCTGAACCTGTGATGGCTTGCTTTTTCTGCCTTCAAAATAATTGAAACAAATTTACTGTTGATGTTGTCTGAATTTAAGTTTGCACCTACTCCAGAGGGAGTTTTGTACTGCAGTAAAGCAGTTTCATAAGAGCAAAGGTAGCAGAGTGCAAAGCCAAGAAGCATTTTGTAAGATAGCCTGGATTGAAAAAATAATGATCCTTTGCTCTTAGCTGTAGTGCTTTATAACAAAACGCTGAAAAAAATATTGCAGCACAAGGAACAGCCTTCCAGTGTTCGTTGGATGCATTCCTATGAAAGACCTTCTTGTCAAATCTAAGAGCTGACACAGAACTCCTATCTGAGCCTCACCTAATATATAAATTCCTGTTGATATTGTACTGTGGAATAAACAAACTCAGACAAAGCAATATCCAGAGTAATTCAGCTCACACACACACAAACAAGTTAAGAAACTGGGATGATTTACAGTTTACATTAAACTGAGAGTCAAGTGGCTTGAGGAAAGCTCCAGCAGAGAATGCATGTGAAGCAGAATAGAGCTTCATTGGACCTCTCTATTGGTTGAGCACATAGCACAGCTTTGTTGGAGCTGTTGTCCTTGCATTCTTGTGTGACTGATAAACAAAGCAATCTTACATCCTGGCTTATGAGGATAAAATTACTAGTCAGCAAATGAATGTTACTTCCTTGGGCAATAATAAGCACTTAAATATGTGCTACCTGTGCTGGGGATCCCAGAACTGGATGCAGTACTCCAAGTGGAGTCTCACAAGAATGGAGAAGAGGGGCAGAATCACCTCCCTTGGAATGCGGTTTGCCGCCTGGGCTGCAAGTCATGGCTCATGTCCAGCCTCTCATCCACCAGCACCCCCAAGTCCTTCTTGGCAGAACTGCCCTCAGTGTGTTCATCCCCAGCCTGTATTGATACCAGGGGTTGCCCTCACCCAGGTGCAGCACCTTGCACTTGGCTTTGTTGAACTCCATGAGGTTTCCATGGGCCCACTTACCAATATTGTCCAAGTCCCTCTGGGTGGCATCCTATCCTTCAAGCTTGTCAACTGCACCATATGAAAATGGGGAACCGCATTGCTACCAGTGACTATTTGAACTACGACTTCTATCTCCTGGTTTACTTTATATAATATGTTGTCAACAGAATAAGCCATTTTTAACAGTTTGATCAGGAATTAAAAGTGCAGTTAGTAGATATGGAGGTATATGGAGGATACCTCTGGTCAGTCTTCCAGATATGGTTCTCGCTTACTGAAAAGAATGAACTGTGGAAACTTCATCCCTTTTGCTTTTTCAGGTGGGTGTTAACTTTTCCAAGCAGCTGTCTGCAATATGTGTGGCCCCATATCTCATGAGAGGCATTTTTGATACCCTCTGAGGTTAAGGTTTCAAAAAATGTTATTGAAAAAATGTCCCTACTTAGAATATTTTTACTTCGAATAGTTATAAAAGGGGAAACCCATGCCCTGAGTTTGAAATCCACGTTACTTTCCATGTGGTTCACACATGTGTAACATAGGCATGTTTTTATGAATCGTTTGTATATTCCTTAGCCAGACTCCTGTGTTTAAACAAATGTGGAAACAACACAATACAGCTGTATAAGGAATTTTTTGTTCATAAGTAAGATCTATAGATTTTTAAAGCTACACTTTCAGCAATAAAGAAATTGTCCATATTCCTGGAATGCACTTCGTGTCTCGATAAAATCTTTCATTGTTTTGGTCTGGAAAGAAAAGACGTACAAACTTTATAATGATGCCAACTTAGCAGTGCAAGAGTAAGTAATAGTCAAGGCTGAAGGTGTTATTCATTACTAAAATATCAAAACAGGCCTATTTGGCAAGAAGATTAGTTCTAATATTGTTTCTAAAATTATTAACATCTTATTAAATGAACTGCTTCAGAATTTAGGATAGTTGAACACTAAAAAAAATTACTGAAAAGTGAAATACAAAATAAATGGCCTTTATTGGCAGTTCCCTCCAAATATTTTTTCTATCTCTTCCCTTTTCTTTTAGACCATGAAAGGAATATCTTTGGATGGTTGCAATAGCATATGAGAAAATAGCCTCCTTTCTTGTACTGGATGATTTATAATAATACTTCCTGAATTACTGTACTCTGAATCATCCAAGAAGTAAAGACCTAAAAACTGAACACATAGCCACTTGCCAAAATAAAGTGCTGAATTTGGACAAAGTGAATTTCAGGTGTCAGATGTAAGGTGCTCTACAAGATACATTGTCTGGTGTCTGCTCCACTACTAATTTGATGAAAAGATGAGTCAAGTTCAAATTCTGTATTGCCAATACAAAGAAAATTAACTGCCTTTTGCTGGCATATCATTCAGTCTTATTGCTGTCTCTCAGACACAGTGTAAAATTGTGTTCTGCTCCCAGTTTGACTGCTTGGAAATTAATAATTTCTAGCCCTCTCAAAGAGGTGCTATGCACTACCTTCCCAACAGTGTCTCTGACTGTGCTGATGACTCTTATGTTTCTTCTCTGCTCAATTAATGTCTGAAGCAAGACGCCCAACATGTTCATCACCAGGTTTGGTATATAGGACAAAATTTCTTATTCCCTTAAAATTTCTTATTCCCTTCTTGTCTCAATTTCCCACTGAGAAGATATTACTGGACTTCTCCTCCTGTAGGGTCCTTCATGAAAACTAGTAAGGAAGCTTCTTGCACAGACAGTATTATTTTTGTTTCAATGAGGTTTTAAAAATCTGGTTAGTATCAGACTTCCAAAAGAGTAGAAATATTTTTTCCATGGAGTGTGAAGTCAACCAAAAATATAAATGCCCACATGAGCTCAGTTAATGAGTTTCTATCACTAAAATAATCAGCACTTATTCTACTTGATTGATCATTAAACATACTTTATTAAAAATATTGGTTAATGAAGATGATCTTATACTCTCCATGGAAAGAGAAGACTTCTTACAAAATTACTTATAAAATAAGAAATAAAGTAAATGAAGCCAAAATTAGAGTTTGCATTTACCTTCCACAAACTGAGCTTAAGCAACAGTAAGCATTTGTGTCTAAAGGATAGTTACACAATTTACTTCCAGGGAAGACTGACATTTCTGAACACTTCTGACATCATAGCACAGGGACTCATGAAAGGTTTTACGTAGTCTAATATACACTCTTTTTTGCATAAGGAAAAGCAGTGTTTAAGTTGCAATAGTAGATATACTCCATGCTGATGTGCTGTTTTAACCCTCAGCATTTCTAATGGCAGCTAATGTGTAGCAGGGTAAATAGATCCACACAGGCTAGACATTGACAAATTATTTTGCTCAAAGTTTAAACTGGCAAACTCAGTCTTTCAGAAGGAATTGATGTTTTTCACCATGTAGCACACCCTAGATTTCACCACAATTATCACTGACAGTTTTAGGAACTGTGCGATCAAACGAAGGCATGAATTGGATGAATCTCATCCAACTGTGTGGAATTCAAATCTGTATTAAAGTTATTCTAGAAAAAATAGTAAAACTGGTTTAGTGGAGGATTTTTAGTCTTGCATATGAAAAATGGATTTCTCCATTCCATAGTTGCATCATGAAAAAAAAGTGATGAGAGGAAAAAGAAATGGAGAAAATTTCCCACATTTTTAACAGGTAGAAGTCCTGTCAGTGTTACTTAACTCCCTTTTTTTACTCTACTTAAAAGATTTAGGTCAGTTTAAATAAATTTTTAAAAAATTAATTTAAAAAAGAAAGCCAAAGCATGTGATTTTAGAAATACCTTAATTAAATGTTTTGACTTTTGTACATAATTTGGGGCATTTGGATTTGGTGTTTGTTTTTTATTTTTTTCCTAGCTGATATATTGCCAAAGCTGATTGAGATTTTTTATTTCTTAGTCTGCATTTTTAGCCTGCTTTTATGTGTCTGTATGTAATATAATTTTGTTTTTATCTAGTGTTACGCATAGATGGAAAAATGTAATATACTAATGGAGGCTAAAAAGTGTAGTGACACTGGTACCAAATGAGAACAAAGGAGAGAACTCCCCAGTTTTTTCCCCAAAGAAATAAATTTTCTCATTTCTTCAGAAGAACCTAGGCATGAGGGCAAAGAAGTTTTACCTCACCTGACAGAAATGTCTTCTAATAAAGCTTCATTTTCTTTTCTAAAACTTTTAACAAGGACTTACTTACACTGCTGGAAAAAAAACTACTAGAAGGAAAAACATCACTCCATTATTCACTGTTTCCCCTTTTCATTTGTGCTAAGAAAAGTTAAATTTGAAAAATCTGAGAGCTGGAAAAATAAAGGCCTCTGTACATCTTCACCCACAGCAAATTCACTGAGGATACAACAATAAACTCAGTAAATGTAGAGGTCCAGCTTATAGGTATCCTGTATTGCTGAAGCAGTCAAAGCAGCCGGAGTTAATCACTTGCTCTGGCCTGAGGTCTATATAAACACCTGTAGAACAGTCTCATATAGTTCTAAGGCTGGGATTGATTCAAAGAAAATTTAGTAAGAGACATCTTGTTTGATCGCTGGTGGGATGCGCAGAGTCAATATTTGTAATAGTAATTAGTTCTGGAGCTGAGACAAGCGACTTGATACACATGTTACGGCATTGTCCTTTAG